CCCAAAACCCCAAAACCCCAAAACCCCAAAACCCCTAAGTGTGAACCTAAGTTGAAAATAGATTAAAACAGTATAATCAGCATAATAAAGCCGATCAATGACGAATAGGTTACAATTATTGAAAAATAAGTGCCTAAACCTCTAATCTATGTAACTTCTCAGTATCCCTCTAAACCTCATAACGCACAATTCTGGTCCCTAACCCTCTAAAGTCTCCAAAATTTCTTCGCAGCAGGCCAAACCCCCTTAGTAGGCAGCACAGATGTGAGGAGTTTCAGAAATATTGACTGTAATTTTAGGGAAATTTAGAAGCAATAATTCGTGTCAAGGTCTGATAAAGTTCTTGAAGGCACCAGGAATTTATGGGTTTGAGAGATTTCTTCCATTTTTCAGATTATGTACTGGGAGAAAACAGCTGAAAGGGAGTCTTGAAGGGTTTTGTGCGTGTTTCCAGTGAAGAGATCGGAGATTGAGGAGACTGAAGAGGTGTCGAGAGGGGATCTGAGGGAGAGATCATTGTTCTGGTTGGAGTAGTTGGTGTAGATTGGGGTCCTGTTGATGGCTAGGTCGGCATGGGATTTTGACATTGGGAGTAAGATGCTTCAGAATTCGGAGTATCTGATCTCGGCGTCTAGTTCTATCTTTTTAGTACATCCTAGCTTTCTAAGAGCCGTGTTGAAGTCTTCTTGAGATATAGCACCCTTAGATTGAGTATCGAAGTACATCTTGTATACCTCAAAGATATTAAAGTCTTCTCTATGGCAAAGTTCTTGCTTTAGATGCTCTAGTTTGATCTGGTTATCAGACATGGATTTTGAGCCCTTAAATTCCTCAGGGCCTTGGACCTCTAGCCCAAAATACGGCTTGTTCTCCTTGAGTAGCTCCGCTACAGGAATTCTTTTGTCAAAGTCGTCCTCAGTGAGACTCTGATATCTAGATGGCTTCTTCTTGGAGAGTCTGTCAACTCTCTTTTTCTCGAACATATCTCTGCACTTGTCAACGCAGGCTTCCATTCTTCTGGTGAACTTTTTCCTCTTTTCTTTCGATTTTAAGCTATGTTTCTTTGGTTTCACAGACTTGTTAGGGCAGGCCGTCTTTGACTAGGGATGAATACAACAAATACCTTGCTTTTCATGGACTGATTTGTCGAAAATTTTGAAGCCAAGGATAGCCTCGAGCTTGTTGACACTTTGGACTTAAGGGAAGCCCTGGAAGTGGTGCTTTTGTAGCTGCTTTTTAATGATTTCTTGGTCTTAGTCTAGCTGTTTAGATGGAATTTTACCTTCTTTTTGGTCCTGACTGGGATTTCTATTGATTCTGTGTATGAACTATCAGAGTCAATGATGGATGTGGCTGGGCAATTTCTCTCGATTTGTCTGTACATCCAATTAATTTGCTCTTGTTTATCAAAGTGAAGGGGGAGAATTACATTGGCAAAATCTTCGCAGGAAACCTGGCCATTTCTATCCCTATCAAGTCTTCTAAAGATTGATTGAATCTCTTCATCAATCAGCTCAAACTGGCATTGGTTTGTCATAAATTCTTGGAGATTTCGTATTGTGAAGAAATTTCTGGTGTTTCATTCAGGTAAGAAGTAGAAGAATGACTCTTGTAAGCAGACTTTCTCCTCTTCGATGAGCTTAGTCTTGAGTCCTTCAAGTTTTCTGTGTAGTTCCAGTTCTCTCTGGAAGAGTCTTAGTAGTGCAATTTCAACGTCTGAGTCAAGCTCGTGGCCATGCTTTGAGACCGTTGATATTTTCTGTTTGGTCTCTCCTGGGTTTGGCTTGATGAAATTTAGGAAATCTGAGTACCCTATTGACCCGTCGTTGTTCTGGTCTAGTGCTTTTATCAAGCAAACTGCTTCAAATTTGTTATGCAGAAGTTTATGTTTCTTGAAAAATGCAGTAATGTCCTTATGTTGAATTCATCCAGACTGATTGTTCTTAGAAAGGTACCTGAATCAGGTGAATGGCTCAAATCATTCTTGATTGTGAAGGACTTGTCTCATAATATTGACTTGACGTTCCTCCATACCAAGTTCGAGTAGAAGGAGTCCAAAATGGTCCATTTCTAACTGAAATATTTTCAATTTCTTAGCCAATATTCGGGGTTTTGGGGTTTTGGGGTTTTGGGGTTTTGGGGTTTTGGGG